TTTTTTTCCCTACCTCCCGCTTCCACCTTCCACCTCCCACCCCTCCCTAGCGTCATCAGGAAGGAGCGAGAGCTTCCCTCTCCTCCGTGGGGTGATCTCCCTGCCCCGAAGACTGAGAGAGTGGTGGGACCTGAGGCGTAGGGCCACTCAGCAACAGTGAGTGTTTCTTTTCTTTATTGTAAAAATGAGCGATACTTTGCAAGTGTACCCCCAACAGTGACTTACCAAAGGGTAAATAATTGTATTGCCATGAACATTTCTTTTATTAAGATAAGAGGTAAGAAAATACTTCATTGTCCCAAAACTTTACCTCTGGGAGAATACAGTATTATCTTAACTTACCTCTTATCTTAAACGTATTCTCAGGGCCTTTGAAGTGACTTAATGTTTTACAGAAAAATCCAAATGCAACCTAAATGAAGAACAAAGAAAGATGACTCTCTGCAAATATACAAAGACGTCAGTTTCGAAAATATTGTGTTCACCATCTGACAGGTTACCTCAGAGCCTTACATACAAATGTTGAGAGAACTCATTATACCAATCCATCAAAGGATCTCTGTATATATCCGGTCGTAGGTCATCTGGCAAGCGATCTGTCTTTGCTGGGTTGTGATATTACGACTCTATCCGTAATATAATAGCAAGGCTGTCTGGTGTTTGACTCGGGTTCCATTTCTGTGGGGGAAAATCATTAATTCTTCGAGTATCTCTGTCTCTCGAATGTTGTATTCCACTTAGTCCCAGGTTGGGCCGTTTTAATTGTCAGAAGTCCGAATTGTGTTGATGGAGTCATAGGAATATGTATGGGAAGGTGGGGTAATTCCACACGAGGGGTAATTCCTCATCCCCACTTACAGCCCTTAGAACCAACAGAAATCTGTTTGACATTCAGCTCTATTTTCTTCTGTCTGCCATGTTTTATTTTTTAATTCAGCTTTAATTTCTTGTATGTCTGTCTTTTTATTTTCCCTGACTTTTGATGTAACTCGTCTAGATAAGACTCTCTACCGCCTTCTTTCATTTACTATAATCAATGCTTTTTCCCGCCTTGGATATTTCTGTATTGCTCTAAACATCGGTTCCATTTCACCAGTGGCCATTCATTGTTCTGAAACCAAACTCCCCAGGACAACAGCCCCGACGTGTGTGTCCCCGAAACTGACGTGTGACCCACGCGCCAAGTACCGCACCCCAGACGGCTACTGTAACAACCTGAAACATCCCGCCTGGGGTACTCCGGGCTGGCCCTTCAAGCGGATTCTAGCCCCAGCTTATGACGACGGTAAGAACACTCGTTTACGAGAACGAAGATTAGAACAGTGGCTCTTGAATTTTGAATAATATAGAGCGGTAAGAATGTCACTTATGACAGTAATGGCTCCTGCGAAATAGAGGAGTTAGAATAATTAGGTTAAGACGACTTGTAAGAATGTCCATTTTGACACGGTAGCAAAACCACACTACTATTGTGACTACAAGTCAGTAAGTGTTTAGCGTATGCAAAGGTAAGCAAACTTGTTTTATTTTAATGTCCAGTGGTAAGCATGTCAATTAGGACGACAGATAGGAACCACATCACCACGTTATGTTTATTTTGAATTTGGGGCCATACGAGTTTCGCTGATGACTGCAGTCAACACACAATTATTGTTAATTCAGGATAGTTAGATTTTTTCTCTTAAACATTCAAGTGGGGGCTCTCGTGGCCTAGAGGTTAAGGTGTTGACCTCTCATTCAAAGGACCTGGGTTCGATTCCGGGTAGCGAACGAACAATTTTATTCTCTAAATTTGTTTCATTTCACCTCATTTCCTGGTCTCTAGCAATGTTCTGTCGTCTGCTTTCGTCTCCTCTATCTGCCCCCACCCCCTCACCTCCTTTGCCCCTTCCTCTGGGCTCATGATTCTTTCTGCAGCCTTTCTACTGCTACTCCTTCGGTTCTTCTTACTGCTGTCTTTCAGCCACACCCCTGATCTTCTGGTAGGAAAGATCTACACCTAGCCTTCTCGGACAAGGGCGAAAAATCTCGAAGGGCCCGTGTGCAAGTTGCGCACGGTAAAGATCCCTTGGTGGTCTAAAATCGATAAGAGTAGGCTTCGGCCGCCACCCGGGCAAAATTCACAATTTCCTACCAACTGAAAATATTAGGCGTGTCCTGTGCGCTCATATGACCTTATGCAGTTGCGAGCGCTGTAAAACACTTTATCGAATAGGATCTTCTCGCCGATTGTTGCATAAAATGTGAGTTCGATTTACGAAAGGGGATTCTTATCGAGTATTTCTGTCTATCAAATGCTATGCGTATTTCAATCATCCGGTTGACCCTGACAGGCAGGGTCGAATGAGCCTGCCTCCTAGAAGTTCTAAAACACATTCTTTTGGGCGTAAAACACCTGCAATATACAATGTACTTACAACAAACAGTCAAAGAGGTTACATATTTCATAATACTAGAGCCCGCGGCAGTGACATCACACATGTCAGACTTGGGGCCCTTCCATCCCCATAGGCATGGCTGGCTTGCCTCCGTTTACGTGATCAATCTGAACCCCTACCTTGCTTTCCATGAGTCTATAGTACTAGTAAGTAAAGCACCGCCGAGACCCCATATTTCAGTGCAAGCTTGTAGATTTCCTCCTTATACCGACCAGACGCCTCCACTTGAGGCTTTAAAAGCACTCACTCGTCTGTTAAACTGCACATGTCTTTCGTTTGAGGTTCAGCGTCCCAGGGTGGTTACACGCAGCACCCGTTCGATTACGTGGGAGACTTCACTGTCACGAACTCTAGTCCTAAATATAAAATCTTTGACAAACAGTTGATGTCTAGTTGAGATCTCCATTCAGAATCTACTTGAACTACTACACATATCCGGGTAATCCATTCTCAGTAGGAGTCAGCAAGGTTTATCCATGTGTGAAAGACACTTTCGACTTGCTTTAAAAAGGAAGACCTAGAGCAGACCTTTACTCAATATACATTTCAGATAATTTTATACTTTAGGGGATGTTCCGATGCCGTGCGTACGGTCAACATAGGCTGTGTGAAGTGCGTACCTCGATAACATACCTAGACCCTACAATTGCAACGCAGACGAGGGCTGAAAAGAAAAACTAACATGTGGACAGTTTTAGTGTCATCGATTATGTCATACTCTTTCACTTTTATAATTCTAATAAAGATATTATACCGTCGACCTTTTTCTTATACTTTGTCAGAATAGCAACAACGATTGTCAGAGTGCATGCAGCCTGATTACTAGATCACCTAAATTCTATCGGTAAGGCTTATTACAAACAACAATAAGGATTGGTCTATTTTTCCAGCTAAAATGTCTCGACCATTATTTACACAAATTGCATATCCGATATCTGAAAGTTTTTGTCATTCAAGAACAGCACAACAGGGGCCGGACTTCCTATCTCAAATCTCTTCTGATAGATGGGCTCAGATGGGTAGTGAGTGCTAAAAAGTCATCTTAATCTTAAATTCCGAACTGCTCAGTTAGGGCGAGTCAACTTGCATTCCATTGTATACATTTAACACCCTTTTCAATACCGTAAGGACCTCCGAATGTAATATTCATCTCCGATAGGCCCGAGGCAAATGGACGGAGTGCCTTAAAGACTCCACCAAAACAACTCAAGCTCAGAATGCCCAATTGGAGATTCTAACCACGGCCACCGGTTCAGAAGACCAGAATGATACCATCTGAGCTAACGGTGAGCCTTACCTTAGTTAAGTCTTGTCTTGAATACAAAATGGAAATAACAATAACAAAGGCAATGACAATGGTACTAGGAATTACACTGACGACTCTTAGGGACAACACAAATGAAAATAAAGTAGAAATGACAGTGAAATTGGAGATTACAACACAATAAAAAAAAAAAGTGACAACAACAAGTAATATAACAATAATTACACTCACGTACTTCCTTGATTTCACCAAGGGAAACTCGTTCAAACCTAGAAATCCTTTCAACAAACATTCAATGTCCCTTAGGTTTTTTTCTGAACTATCCTGCTATACAACAATGGTATAACGTGTACATGATTCCAGGGCAGAATGCTCCGAGAGCCTACGGTGTATCGGGGCGGCCTTTGCCATCTCCCCGGGTCGTGAGTCGTATCGTTCACACAGCTGACTCCGACAATGTCCTGACGGATAGACTCACCAGCATGTTTACACATTTTGGCCAATTCCTGGACCATGATTTGGACTTGACGCCGCTGACGAACAGTGAGTAACTGCTATAGTCCGTTCATTTTCATGTGCCTGCAATTTTTTGCAATATTCTGTAAAATGTTTTGTTGTATTGCCCTGCCTGAATGCATGAAAGCTTACATTTTGACTGACCTACCCTTTCCACATTTTGTAATCTACATGTTGAACAGTTCATTCTAAGCAAAGAATTCCTTTGATCTTTTTGAAATATCACAAGATTCCTGTCCTGAAATTTCAACGTCTCAGGTAGCTAGGCATTTAGAAATTGGCATTTTTTAACACAATAGTCTTTGTTTCGTTTTTTAAGGGGGAGGGGGGGGAGGGGGGAGGGGGGAGGGGGGAGAGTACGGGAAAAAGTGAATACTGCGGACGGAGAAAATGAGAGCTCTTGTGTTGAAATAGTGTGGGGGATGAACTGCTGGACAATCGGAGATTATAATTTTTGGAACTGCTCAGCTTTCCAAGTGTGCCAGAAGATATTGTTTGTGTAGTACAATGGCTGGGGCAATCCACTCAATATGAATCCTGCCCCTATAGAAAGTAATTGCAACTTACTATAGGTATCTAATACATAAAAAATCATGGGGAAAACAAAGCAGAAGTAAGTCGGTTAACAGCGTGAGCGTGGGGGGGGGGGTTACTAGCAGTTCTGGGGACTTCTTGTTCGGTAGGGATGATCAAGTGCGACAGGTGATAACAGATCATCATCTAGAGACTGTCTGCGTTGAAAGATCAATGAGATTTGGCACTTTGAACATCTAAACCATGCTTCAGAACGGAAAGTAAGAGGACGTCAATCAAGAAATTAGAAGGGGGAAATGTATTATACTTAGAACGGTTGAAATGAAATGAAGAGACCTGGGGGCATAAGATCAGACCAAATCAATATTCTGTATTCTGGAAAAGATAAACACCAGAGAAGAGTTAGTCGATTCTGAGTTGGACATATCAACAAAAGAGACGAAAAACGTGTAGAATGGTGCAAAGATCACAAACTCGATGTGATAAACTCTTGGTTCAGGCACCATCCAAGACCAAGAAGATGTGTGTGGAAGAGTTCTGGGGGCAAACAAGATCAATAATATCATGAAAGTCAATGCCAGGGGCAGATTCGGCCTTATCCGAGAAGGTTAGCTGTAGATCTTACCTACCACAAGATCAGGGGTGTGGCTGAAAGACAGCAGTAAGAAGGAGCCAAGGAGAAGCAGTAGAAAGGCTACAGAAAGAGTCAAGAGCCCAGAGGAGGGGGCCAAAGGATGTGAGGTGGTGGGGGCAGAAAGTGGAGACGAAAGCAGACGAAAGAACATTATTAGAGACCAGGAAAGGATAAGAAAGAAAATTTTAGAAAAAAGCATGTTTCCGTCACTATCAGGATTCAAACCCGGGACCTTTTAAATGAGAGGCGAGCACCTTAACCTCTTGACCACGAGAGCCCCCAAAGCAGGTTTGAGTTATTTGAAAATCTGACAAGTGCCGAAGAATTGTAGCAGAAAATGAGGGGATGTCTTCAATTAGCAGTCGACGCACACGTACCTGTCACCAAACGGAAAGAACACACAAAAAAATGGACACGTGGTTTTATAGGGGAAAATAGATTACCAAATGAAAAAGAAATACAATGAAACCACAGAAACATGGGTAAATTTTCAGTTTGAAGAAATAGAAAATGACCAGACCAAAGACAGCAAATGCATGCGCCCAAAGATTCAAGATATGCAAGGAAAGGAACAGTCACTCAAAGCGGGGTGTATAAAATCTAAAAGAAGAGAAATCTTGATGGAAACGAGATCTATTGAACAGATATCAGAAAGTAATGAAGAGCTGTACTATGACGATAGAGGTCCTCTGCTAGCGTTTCTTAAAAGCACCAAGGGATCACCAATACAAATAGAAGATAAAATCAAATATGGCAAAGCACTAGGTCCAGACAACAGTCCCATTGAAACGATCATCACACTAGAAGAAGAGCACGCAAAAGCCTCCTGTATTAGAAGAATTTTTATCGAGTATCTCCATTTTGTTCTTCTAGGACGTTGTATCCGTCTCAGACAAGGTTGATTGGCCCTGACAGGCAGGGTGAAGCAGCTCGCCTCCTTTTGAAAATTCAATATTATCTGATTATTTACAATAAATATCAGATAATATTGAATTTTAAAAATCCCTACCCCACCCAAATAAACTCCTCACAGGTGATTCTGAGCTGGACTGTTGTGAGGAGATGATTCAGTTCCCAGTGAGAGGCTTCTACACGCACCCACCCACCTCCTCGTTGGCTTACTTATTGAAAAGGTATGAAAACAGAGAGAGACAGAGAGAGACAGAGAGAGACAGAGAGAGACAAAGAGAGACAGAGAGAGACAGAGAGAGACAGAGAGAGACAGAGAGAGAGAGGGGGAGGAGGGAGGGAGAGAGAAAGGGGGATGGAAGGAGAGAGAGATGCGGGGCTGTTGGGGAGTGATAATGAGGAAAGATAGCGTTGGAGGACATAGAGAAATAGAGAGACGGACAGAGGGAGACGTGGAGAGGGGGGAAGAGATGGGATGGTGAGAATGGGAGAGACCCAAGGTGAGACACAGAGAGAGGCAGAGAGAGGGAGAGAGAGAGAGAGAGAGAGAGAGAGAGA